TTTAGAATTCCAACTGCTTTAGTGTTCCTCTCACCTTCTTCCAGTAAAACAGTCGAGCAACACTCTGTAGGGCTGGGTAGGTGACTATCATCATTTTCGGGAACAAGTTTCCCTTGGATGTATTTGTATCTATTACTTCCAATATAAACAAACAGGGGTTTGCTTTCCTTTACACCTATCTCTGGTTCGAGATCACTTAAGACACTGGAATGCTTGCGTCTAAATCGGTCATGGTTTAGTTCTGAACACTCAGAATCAACAAAAATCACCACCAATCCAGAACTGACATAAAGTGGACTTTTTTTTATGATACTCTCCAATGGGTAACATTTCAGTTTTGAATTTGGTTTAGTAAACTCCACTTGATATTTCTCACCATCAAAGTTCTTTTTTGGAATGAGTTTGGAACTTGTTATGATAAAGTACTCACTCCAATCAGGGTTTTGGACCTTAGGCTCATAAAATAAACACCCCCAGCCAACAGCTCCATCTTGACGTGTTATTTTGCAGAGTGCCTTGCGTCTCTCCCTTTCAAGTACATCATATGACGGCTGAAACATGAGGTCCCTGAAAGATTCTGCCATTTTGCTGGAAAGAAGCCAGGATTACCTAGATGGTAAGAGAAACGAAAAAAAAAATTATTGAAATCACATCCAAGTTACAACCATAAAGATGTGCGTACAGTCGTACTGGATTTGCTTGGTTGAAACAGTCCTCGCAAGCTACAATTACTACATAAGATCCATGTAATAGCCCTTGCCAAAGGAGTAGTGTCTTGTTAATTATCTTTGAGTTGGTCACTAGATTATGATAGCCATGATGCAATAATGTATTCTCATACTTAAAATGTTCATCATGTTACTGTTGTGATTCCCCTAACAACCAACCGTCCGATCCACAGAGATGCAAATGGCCACTGAAACCAAAATGCACTCTACAGTCGGAGGTTTTAATAAATTTTTCCATCTGAAGCTGCCAATGGTGTATTAATAGGTCGATGTGACCAGAAAGGGGCCGTAAAGGCCAGACCCAAACACAAGAGCCTTAGAATAAATCCTTACAACCCTTTACAGGTATGTTAAGGTATGGATGGAAAACTTTATCGCCCCCGCAAATTAAGACTAAACAATTGGTTCATGCTTAACTTTCAACTGTGGGTAAATTGAGGTATTGATAGAAGACTTTTTTGCCCTGCATGCAAATACTCTACAATTGGTTCATGCTTTCAACTGTGGGTAACTATTTAGGGCGACCCTAAAAGACAGAGCGATGGAATGCTGGAGCGACAGAATGCTGGAATCACAGAATGTTGGAATGACAGAATGCTGGAATGATGGAATGCTGGAACGACAGAAT